AATGGGTGTGAACCATCACAATTGGCCACGTGTGGCTCTGGCCTGAGCTGGGGCCCGCAAGGCCGCAGGCAAGTAGCTTTTTCAAGAATTCCTTCCACTAACATTGGGTGCCAGATGTAGAAGAAACAGTCTTATGAAATAATATACACAGAGTCAGTGCAGAGATGAAAGCCCATGGGGTCAGAGCTATGAGCTAAAATCCTTACCAGTCACTGCTACTGCTGTCATCTTCAGCCAAGAGAGCTAATTTCTGTTTGTTTGTCTTTATTATAGACTTTCTATTCTGCCTTCTCATTGGTTGTAAACCCAAACACATGACCTCCTCCACACTGCCTGTCTGTACAGACCTCCAGGTCTTCTATTGTTGGTATTGAGTTTAAAGGCATGCACCAAAACCTCCTGGCTTCTGCTATAGCTTGCTGTTAGGTCTGACCCCCCAGGCAACATTATTTATTAAGATATGAATAAAATCATATTTCAGTACAAATAAAATATCACCATAGACACCAGACAGGGTATGAGGCTTGATGGAAATTAAATATTTATTGCTGATTTCAGAGAGGTATTCAGTACTTCCCTGGAAAATAATAAAGACACCAGATTTCCTTTTTCTTTGGTATTTATTTTTGCTTGCATGGAATAAGTGCAGATCTTATCTTATGTCTTCACCCACAGCTCTGAATTCCTATGTCCTATAGTAAAGTTGAGACTGGAAAATATTGGTACATTCGAATCATCAACCACCTCTGATTGTCTTTGGATATTTCTGCCATCTCTTCAACACAAATATGTGGGGATCTCAGGTATTGTTTTGCAGAAGACATTAAACTTTAGAGTATAATACCCAAAAGCCTCTCTGGCTCTATAGTAAGACACACCCCGCACTTCATTGTGTTGTTTCCCAACTATTCCCTGAAGTAACATCTCTGATTAGGGCTAAGTGATGCACAGATATGTTAGTATATCCCTGTCATTAAGACTTAGTTTATTTCAATATGACGTTGGCAGAAGGAAAGAAATTATGTTCATAAGAGTCTGTCATTTGAAAGTTGCTCAATATTTTCCCTTTTAGGGTATGTAACATCTGAGTGGGAATTTTTTCCTTCCTCATTTTAATCCACTAACACACAGAATAAACTTCTGTCCTATCACATGTCATCAATCCCAGTGAATCTTCTAAAAAGAAGCAGATGGATTTGTCTTCTATGATGACATCAGTATGTAGGGACTTCAAAAAGAGCTTCTTTCCATCATATTATGCAGTGTTAGTACCTTTTCGATATAGTTTGTGGAGCTCCATGTTTACAATAAAGGCACATCTTTTGACATAATGTCAAAGAAATAACAAATTGCTGCCATATGAGTTAGAAAATTCAAACAATTCTTCACAGTATAAGGAATTAAGTTTTCATAATATCTCTCTACATATTCTATGATGCATTTCAATGACATGAAAACATTTATATAAATTATATATATGTGTACATGTATGATTTTTCTTATGTATATATATATACAGATAAATATCCATTTGTACACTATCTTCATATAGTTTAGAATTCTATTCATGCATACATTTAGATTATTTCACATATCTTTTT